TACATGGAAGAAGTGTTTTTGAACAAGTTAAAATGAGCCATTATACAGAGAGCTTGTTTAATTCCCAGATCCTCACACTGATCTCTGCGTATTTTGTACCATGTTAATCAGAATTCCCTTGTGGCTGATTTATTATGCACTCAACTAAGCAATAAAATGGTGAAACAATAATGTCCTGATTCACACAGGCTTTAAAAGTCGGTTAGATGTAATTTAGAGGTGCCAGGAAGGAAAACAGGGTTAAATGCTTGCACTAAATTTAGGAGATAGCAAAGCTTAATAGATCTACATCCTTCCAATAACCCAGAAGACATTTCTATTACAGGCTCTGTGCATAATGTACTTGCAAGAAAAAGTTCACCAAATTTACTAGTCCATTAGATGATGCTGTTATGTAGTTTGCAGCGGCATCAAGAGGAGCTTAGCTGTTAAATGTGTTCATTTGTTCACATAATGCCCTGTCTCTTATTTCTGCTTACTAATAAATCTTTAAATAGTACATTCTATCTCTTGCTCTATAAAAGCAAAAAAACAAACAAAACACTTTTTGTAAAATTTAACATGTGAAATTAAGGATTTTTTTGGTCATTTTGACCTTGTGTTTGACAAGTCCAAACATCAAGGACAAGCCACTTCCATGACAAGCCAAGGTGCAAATGGGAAACAATGATGCACATTGATTTCTTTCTCCTTTTTATAGTTTGCATAATCTTTCATTTCTGTAAATACTTTGATAAAGGGACTTTCCACGCACCATAACCTCTACAAATCACTGTAGTTGTTATAGTGCCATGAGAGCCCCCAACCTCCTTTGCAAGGAGTCATACCCTTGTGCAATGATTTGATTTCATACCTGAGGTCCACCGGGCACCAGTCCCAGATATCACTACTGATGCCGGAGAGCCAAAAATTGCTATGTAAATTGATCTCAGAGCTAAATTGCACCAGGCTGTAGTGTTTATTGTGCTTGGAATGTTCCTTTAATGGTCATTATAGGGTGATTTTAACAACCATTTTTGTTGTACTCTTTTCCAGCAGCTGCCAATCTCTGATCTCCACACCCTCCGACCCGACCCACCCACTATAACCAGGAAGTGGAATGGATATATGGAATGAATATATTTTACAGCATTTTCTAAGGAAGAATTAGAGCACATGTGCATGATATTACATGTGTACATGCTCAGATGTTTCATGTAGAATTCAGTAGAGATGCTGCTACACAAAGATGAATTGAAATAAGCTGGGTAAACTTGGGAGCAAATAGAATCTTTGCAAATCATCTATTTAATTACCAAGATTTCCAGCAGGCCTTAGATTAAATCTCCTTTCTTCAATCTAAATGTGTGGCCTTGTGTCCTATGTATAGCCCTGTTTATGAATAATTTCTAGATAATGGTTTGTACTGGCCTGAATATATTTGTATAATGTTATCATTATTAACACCTGATACAGCAAAGGTGCTTGTCCATGCTGTTGTCTTCTCTCGCCTTGACTACTGTAATCCACTTCTCAGTGGTCTTACGTGTTCCCAACTTGCCCCGTTACACTCTTTAATGAATGCGGCAGCAAGGCTCATCTTCCTGTCTGCCCACATCTCCCACGCCTCCCCCCTTTGTCAGTACCTTCATTGGCTTCCCGTAAGATATAGGGCTCAATTTAAGATCCTGACTCTTGCTTACAAATCTCTACACAATGATGCTCCCACCTACTTATCCTCACTAATACAAAAATATGTCCATTCTAGGCCCCTACGCTTTGCCGGAGACGTATGTCTAACCTCTGTATGTACTCCTACCTCTGATGCTCACATTAAAGACTTCTCTAGGGCTGCACCATTCCTATAGAACACCCTTCCCCTCTCTGTTAGACTCTCACCCAGTCTCCACTCCTTCAAAAAATATTTGAAAACGTACTTCTTTAGGAAAGCATATCAATTAAACTGTGAACAGCTTTCCCTCCCTGCACCCTGATTCCTCTCCTGAAACTGTCATCAAAACAAAATACTAAGCCCTGAATGAATACTATCCTAGCAACCTACTTTTCTACCCTACTCTCACCTTTTGTGTCACAAAACCCCACACCCTCTAGCACGTAAGCACATTGAGCAGGGCCCTCAATCCCTCTGTTCCTGTGCGTCATTGTACAGTACTACTCAACTTGTTGGCGCTTCATAAATAATAATAATAATCATATCCCCTCTGAGGTGCCATTTTTTCAAACTAAAGAGATTATAATGTTTTAACCTTTCTTCATAACTAAAATGCTTCATTCCTTTGATCAATTTTGTGGCTCGTCTCTGCACTTTTTCTAGTGCCATGATATCTTTCTTTAGAACAGGTGCCCAAAATTGCACAGCATATTCACGGTGTGGTCTTCCATCCCGAGAATTTATTCCCCTGTTTATACATGACAATACCTTACTGGCCTTGGCAACTGTAGATTGACATTGCATATTGCTGCCTAATTTGTTGTCTATAAGAATTCCCAAATCCTTCTCGTGTGTTGTCATCCCTAATTCACTATTTGTGCATTCTTGACCCACAGTTATATATTTATCTCCCAACTATAGTATTAGGTCTTAATGAGTAGGAGCAGTGGACTCCTGTTTGTGTGGGCTTTTTAAGTATGAGATCTGTTCAACCAAGCTGATCCTTCAAAACAAATAAAGAGTTAAGTAGGCCACTACTTGCCTCTTACCCATGACCCACAGACTGCTCACCGTCAGTCCTTAGTTCTTGATTTCCGGGGGACAATGACACAGTTGATCTGCCAAATTGTCCAGTGGATTTGCTCCTCAAAAGTTAATGTTTGTATTATTGCCATTTCACATGAAGAAATGTTGCAAAAATAGTTGGCGCTCTGCAATACCTTGGTGCGACTTTTATTTACACTGGACATTTTTGTATAAATGCTAAACATTCTATTCCAGGATTTTATTTATCCATGATGTGTTTTTACCAAGTTGACGCTACTACCACTTCATGATTTATTACTCCGATAGTAGTGCAGATTGCAGTGAGTAAATAGGTGTGTAAGAAGTTCCAAGGGAGGATAGTGCGCGTGCCTTTTTGACCATCTTTACATTTGACAATACAGAAGTTTTTTTTTTTTTTTAAATAGTGTGATTACTCACTGCAACACTATCTCAGTTTATATAGAACATAATGTTTTTTTTCCAGCAACATTTATTATTTTTATAATGAATATGAAAACACATTTTTCAATATGATTGTTTGTAAAAAAAAGACCTAGCACATTCATGGAAAATAAAAAAACATGAGGCAAATGACATGAAAAACTTTCTCAACAATAAAAATAAGTTTTATACAGATTGTACTTTAAATTATTTATGTTCTCAAATCATTGTGAATGTAACTTTCTGTTGAATGTCACTGAATGTTCAATTTGTATTGAGGTACTAACTAATTCAATAACAAAAAATAGACCAAAACAAAATAGTATTCCTTGACATTCAACATTTTCCTGAAGGAAGAGGACATATGAAGCAGGTGAAAATAATTTAAAGTTATAGTTATTTATTTATTTTTTTTAACGAAGGAACTGGATGTTTTTATGCTTAACAGAAAATAGAAAATCTCAGCATTTGGCAGAATAAGTGGTATTATGGTTGTTTATTTGGTCATAACAGAAGGCCAACGTTTTGACACACTAAGTGTCTTTCTTAAGTCATATGGGAAAGACACTTAGAGTGTTGAAACATTGCCCTTCTGTGATGACTGAATAAAACACCATTATACCACTTATTCTGCCAAGGGCTGAGGTTTTCTGTTTTCTGTTATTTATTTATATGTCCATTGGAAGACTCCACCTGCCACATAGACAGCCAACATTAAGTGTCCCATATAAAAGAACGTTAGCTTGTTTTTATGTTTAATTTAGGATTTTTTTGAGTTTAAATAAGTTATTTTATAGTGATAAAGTTATTTTTTAAATTCTTTATAGTTAGATCAGCACATTTTTATATTACTGAGTGTATAAAGGTTTTTTCACCTCCCCTATGTCCGCCTGAGCATTGCATTTCATAACCAAGATACATGGAATTTCAAATACAAGTTACAATGAGAAAACCAATGGAATTATAAAAAAAAACCAACATATTAGGGATATTAATTTAGTTTAAAACTGTGCTTCTGGGGGGCGTGGCTTGGCAGCTCACGGACATGGACGCGTGAGTCGTCAGTTCCTGTGAAGGTGACCCAAAACACAGCGATTATCAGAGCCTAAGTTACTTTAAAATATCCAGTAAAGCATCCCCAGATTACACTTCGCCACCATGTCACAGCCGACTGGCAAAAAACCCTCATATATCGGCATTAACGCCACCATACGCTCAAATCCAAGATGGCGCCAAAGGACCTGCATCGCCTGCGGCCTGCTCGGACAAGAGTGACAGCACCACAATTTCAACTGCAAACACAACCCCTGCCTCGGAAACAACAATGCAAAGAATGCTACAAGAATTACAGCATACCTTACAAGCAGTATTTGCTAAGCTGGCCCGAGATGTACGTGCTGACATTAAAGCTATAGGTGAGCGCACCACACAACTACAAGATAAGACTGAGGAGATCATTGAGGCCCATAATACTCTGGCCGAGGCCTATGAATCCTTTGAAGCTAGATTATCCTCCCTCACGGCAAATGTGGCAGAACACGAGGATTGCACCAAGCGCAACAATATTCACCTGCGTGGCATCCCAGAGGAATTTAAACCCTCTGGATTACAGAACTATACAGTAGCCCTGTTTAAAGCCTTGTGCCCCGGTTTATCAAGGACTAGATTCCTTGCAACCTCCACTCCCAGAGATGTGCCACACAAGTCCACTACTTCACATCAAAAGAACACATCATGCGAGCAGCCAGAAATCCCTGTTTAAAGCCTTGTGCCCCGGTTTATCAAGGACTAGATTCCTTGCAACCTCCACTCCCAGAGATGTGCCACACAAGTCCACTACTTCACATCAAAAGAACACATCATGCGAGCAGCCAGAAATCCGGACGCAATACCAACTCAGTTTGCAGGAGTTAAGCTGTTTGTTGATCTATCTTCAGCAACGTTAGCAAAACACAAAGAATTGGCACCAGTGACGAGAGCAGTGAGAGATGCTGACATTCTCTACAAATGGAGTGGAACACTAGATCCATACAACGGCAGAGGGAGCCCAGCTGCTAAAAGAATGGAACCTACCCATCGTTCTACCAGAGAAATCAGAACCATCAACTGGCAGCCGCAAATCACCCGCCAAGATTGCCAGAGATTGGATTACCCTACCTAGACACAAATGATGGACTTACACAGAGATAGCGCACAGATAACACCTAATACCACCGCTGTTGCTTGATGCACCAATACGTGAGCATGATATAATAGATATGTTGCCTTATTAAGGTTTACTATAGATATGGTTGTCATGCCCACATTGGAGATGCTGTAACCGAGTGACATACATGGTGGGAATCACTTTAACTGGGGAATGATAAAGAGAGGAAGTGCAACCAGACATATGCACACGTTCACCCTCTCCCATCTAGGCTCCATGGAGCTGTATAGAGTTTTATTGTTGACAGGTAGTTTATACATGTACACCTTTTTGTATATAGTTACCGTTTGGTGTTTTGTTGTTCCCACATTTCTCCCTCACCCCATCTATTCACTGCACACACAGAGAGTCGGGAAAAGGGATTGTGCCCCAGCTATTTTGGCTCACCTGTAACCACATGGAGAAAATCCCCATGCGGGAAACTGACCATGCAAACTCACACATGAGCATAACTTGCCATACAATCCTGGATATATACACCTCTATTAGATCATATATGTACAACCTCTCAATGGGGCCCTTATTCCAACGACTCTATCGCTTACTGGGCAGAGGTCATGCGAGATCCGACAGATCAGATCTAGACACAAAAAACAAGATCAATTCTACGATGTTCCTGAGCACACAACAGAAACAGCCAATCCAAATAGTCGAAGCAATAAATACAATGATAATAGCAGCAACGCTCCATTGTACCAATGGTTATAACTGTCTTCTCCCTTAACGCTAGGTGGTTAAACTCTCCACATAAGAGAAGACTAGCCTTAACGGAAGCCAGAAAATTGAAGGCCACAATAGCCTTCTTCCAGAAGACACACTTCCAAAAAATCACATTTCCCAACTTACCACACTGGTTATACGAAGAAAAAAAGAGGGGTATCAATATTAATCAGCAAAGACATATCCTTTATATTACACAAAAAAATTAGCGACAGGGAGTGACGTTTCCTTTTTCTTCAATGTCATGTCAACAATGAACCATATACCTTCATAAATATCTATGGCCCTCATGAAAATCAGGTAGCATACCTAAACAAGATACTATCCTTATCACACGCTCATACGTTTGGCAGTACAGATATCGGGGGGGACAACAACTCCTGTATAGCTCCCTAGACACATCATTAGGTGCTACCGTTTCAATGACCACTTTCCAAACCTGCTCTAACACCTCCGTTCATATGGCGTGTGTTGCACCCATCAGAAAGAGATTGTACTTTCCACTCACAAGTTCACAACTCCTACTCCAGGATAGACAGATTCATGACCCACACTTCTTTAATTCCAAAAATACAATCAGCACACCTAAGACTCATAACTTGGTCCGATCATGCCCCTTGCCACCTTGCCCTGAAAGGTCTCACAGCCTGTTATTCCCATGTTGAAGCCCACAAAAAACTCCTATGTCGATGGTACCTCACACCTAACAAACTACATAAAATATACCCACTTTCCCCAGATACGTATTGGAGATGTGAGCAAGCTAAGGGAACAATGACCCACATCTGGTGGGAATGTCCAGACATCAAACCACTATGGGCGGAAGTACAGAAGCTATGCATTGAACTGGAACTCCAACCCACATTGCTTACTCCTAGGTTGAGCCTTTTTCTACAAAATTCCTAAAACATTCCCTCTATCAGACAGGCAATTAATGGTAATTACAATACTTGCAGCACGCAGCCTGATTGCTGGTCATTGGAAACAAAAAATATGCCCCTCTCACACACGGCTCTGTCACAGGGTACGACAATACCTCAAATATGAGATGTTGATAGCTGCGACGCCTAAACAAATAGTAACCACTCTCGCGGCCATTAATCTATGCTAATTCTCCTTGATTTTTCTGCTGCCTTTGACACTGTTGATCAACAACATCTTCTTCACATTCTCTGTAATTTTTGTCTACGGGATACTGCTCTCTCCTGGTGTTCCTCCTCTCTCTCCCAGTGCTCTATCAGTGTTTCTTTCTCTGACTCTGCCTCTTCCCCCCCAACCACTCTCTGTCGGCGTCCTCCAAGGTTTTGTCCTTGGTTCCCTACTGTTCTCTATCTATACTAGATGACATCTATACTCTCCTGGTGTCATGTTGACTCGTGTCTCTGACTGCCTCTCTGCGATTTCCAACTGGATGGCTGCTCACTTCCTTAAACTCAACCTGTTCAAAACAGAACTTCTGGTCTTTCCTCCCTCAAGTGTTACTACTCCCATGTCTGTCTCCTTCCAAGTCAACAGCGCTACCGTCACCTCTACCTCACTGCTTGGGTGTTCTTTTTTACTCCAACCTTTTTTCACCCCTCATGTCCAATTAATCGCCAAATCCTGTCACTTCCATCTCAAAAACATAGCGCGCATCCTCCCCTATTTACCGCCACATGCGGCTAAGGTGCTGGTCCATGCTGTTGTTCTCTCTCTCCTTGACTAATGCAATCCACTTTTCAGTGGTCTTACGTGTTCCCAGATTGCACCGCTGCAATCTATAATGAATGCAGCGGCGAGGCTCATTTTCCTGTTCGCTCGCACCTTACACACCTTCCGCTGTGTCAGTTTTTGCATTGACTTCCAGTTAGATATAGGGCTCAATGTAAAATTCTAGTGCTTGCTTACAAGTCCCTACATATTGATGCTCCAACCTACCTATCCTTCTTAGTACACAAGTATGTCCTGTAGAACCCCCTATGCTCTGCCAAAGTACCTACCGTACTCCCACCTCTAATGCTCGCCTCCAAGATTTCTCCAGGGCTGCACCTCTTCTGTCGAACTCCCTTCCCTTCTCTGTAAGACTTGTGACGAGACCAATCTCGCCACATTGCATTGGAGAAGCCTGGTTGCTCGCCTGCTGCCTTTGGACTATGGCCCCCTGTTAAAAGACATCTTTTTTACCTGCAGAAAAGCTTCATTCGTGCTTTTCTGCCTGGGGTTCGGTAGATTTGTTTGAATGTGTTATACCCCAGATAGGAATCCCATGGAGCCCATTCGTATGAAACTGACTGTAAAGACTTTGGCTCCATGGCGATTAAACTGTATTCGTGTGGTCTGAGCGCCATTCACTTAATAATGTGCGCTCAGACCTGAGCTATCTGGGGATATGTTAAATGTATAGTTCTAATGTAATGTGTCTTACCTGGTGTATTTTTACAGTAATGCTTGTTTTGTGTCACCATGTGCATAATGGAGTCTTGTCTCTGTCCTGGGAGATAATTTAATTACTTCTCAATTATCTCCTGGGCAGAGGAGAGGAAGCCAGGATGCATTGTGATAAAAAGGAAGAGGTAATTGGGTTACCTCTCAGGATAAGGGGGAGGGAATCTGTGGGTTGTAACTAATATGTTACTGGATATTTTATACCTCCCTGTGGGCGGTCCTGTATTTGCAAGACTGTAATAAAAACCAGGCTGGGTGTGCCAGCACCTTGGACCACTGCTTGACCCTCAACACAGAGCCTTGTCTCGTTCTTGGGGGGATTCACTGTATGCTGTTAGAGACTGATTGCCAGGAGTGTAAGCTGATTGTCTGCTTTTCCTGTTCGTCTGCTAGCAGCTATTTAGGAGGTTCCAGTTCGGGAGGTGGAGTGCTATGTTGTATCCAGTTCGGGAGTTTGGTGTTCTGCAGTAGCTGTGCCTGTATCTCTGGAAAGGGGGCCGATCGCCTAAACGGTTTTTACCCCTTGTGTGCAAAACGGTCCGTTACAATTGGTGGCAAGCGGCGGGATCGTTCCTACAGCCAGAAGGACAGCTACAGGAGACACCATTCCGTGGATTTTACAATTTGAGGGCAACGCATGTCTCAGTACAGCGACCCTGACAGCAACAGAATGGAACCAGCAGTGGAGTACAGATACTCTGTACAGGAATTTGACCGTATGATGTGGTTGCGGCTGAACTTCTTCGGACCTAATCCAGCTGAGAAATCCGTGAAGTTCGTGAGGAGTCTAGTATTCAAGACTCTGCTGTACCGGGCAGAGGGTGACGGTCAGCTGCCACGGTGGGTGGACCTCCACCGGCAGCTACAGTTGCGGGACAGAGAGAGCCCAGTCTCCTCTCCCCAGCGGCAGTGTGATATGCAGGGAATTGGGAGCCCAGTCTCCATTCCCCAGCGGCAGTGTGATATGCCGGGAATTGGGAGCCCAGTCTCCATTCCCCAGCGGCAGTGTAAAGTGCAGGGAGAGGAGAGCAGCGTCCTCCCTCCCCAGCGGCAGGCTGAGTTACAGGGGGCAGAGGTAGTTGTTCCTGCCCCCCAGCAGCAGAGTGATATGCCGGGAAGGCAGTGTGAAGTGCAGGGAGAGGAGAGCAGCGTCCTCCCTCCCCAGCGGCAGGCTGAGTTACAGGGGGCAGAGGTAGTTGTTCCTGCCCCCCAGCAGCAGAGTGATATGCCGGGAAGGCAGTGTAAAGTGCAGGGAGAGGAGAGCAGCGTCCTCCCTCCCCAGCGGCAGGCTGAGCTACAGGGGGCAGAGGTAGTTGTTCCTGCCCCCCAGCAGCAGCGTGATTTTTTGGGAATTGGGAGCCCAGTCTCCATTCCCCAGCGGCCGAGTGATGTGCCGGGAATTGGGAGCCCAGTCTCCATTCTCCAGCGGCAGTGTTATTGGTTGGGAATTGGGAGCCCAGTCTCCAGTCCCCAGCGGCAGAGTATCCAGCAGGGAATAGAGAGCCCAGTCTCCCCTTCCCAGCAGCAGGACACTGTATTGGGAGCGGAGACAGTCGGTCTCCCTCCACAGAGGATGAAAGTATGTATGGGAGAGGAGCTTGCTACCACCTCTCCCCAGCGGCGGATCATTAATGGGCAGGGAATAGAGAGCTCAGTCTCCTTTCCCCAGCGGCAGAGTGTTCTATCGGGAGAGGAGCCTGTTACCCCCTCTCCCCAGCAACAGCTTAGAGTATCCAAAGGGGAGACAGTCGGTCTCCTCCAGCAGCAGAGCTGTGTAACCAAAGGGGAGACAGTCGGTCTCCAGCAGCAGG